ATAAGCACTTGAGGCACATAAATTATGTACCAAGTGACAAAATATAACCATGATCGGGAGTTGTTACAGCAATAAATCAAAATTCGGTGATGTATATAATGACAGAAAATGATACTCCTAGACTTAGTTCCATATCTCAACTTTTTTTTTTGAAGAAATCGTTATCATTGTTCAAAAAACCATGCTGATGAAGAGTTTGGTGGTGATATCTAATGGTGTCTCATTCTATTTGCGATCAAAACAAGTCCGAGCAACTTCCATGTAATTTAATTTTTTTAGATCATTTCTATTTCAGTTCCATTAATAAATTGATGAGAATTGCTTCGATGAGACCTACCTATATCACTTTGCTACTTCAAAGTTTTTATGGCACGCTAAATCTTCATTATCTCTGTTTGAAGTGTCTGCTATTTTTGTTTGAAATGAAGGAAAACGTGGAAAATATATGGAAATTCACATTGAATATTACTTATTGGTGCGAAATCGTTATAAAAAATAATTTAGTATTTGTTTAGGAACGCATACATTTGTGGAATACATTTGTAACTATTACCCTGACTATCATGGACTATCATTGAGTTTTCATCTCTTATTAATTCTTCATAACGATTATCATCGTTGTTCTGTACATTGAAATTTTTTTTGTACTTTGGAGCTGTCTGATTTTCCACTTTTTCTAAACCTCAGGAAAACACTGCAGCTTCCTTAGGGTCATAACGTTTTTCTTATCTTCAATGTTTTACAGGAGCAAGCATTTGGCTTCGCTAGTTGCTTGCCAGATAACTATTCATCCTCCATTCTTCGTGGATTGTGATTTCAATCGTGAAATTTATGTTGAAATGGGTGTCATATGATGGTTTCCATCAGTCTTTCTTCGTGGTTACCCAAAACTTGTTGAGGCGTATGAGCAGTTATTCAACAAGTGCTGGAGTGAGCCCTTCACTCTTCTAAATGTTGGTTCCTTGTCAGCCTGGGATCTAATATAATTCCCAGATATTCACCTCTCCCAACAAATAAAAATATATTTCGTAGTCTTGGAGGCTATAGTCCCTTTACCTTGTTTCTCTTGGTGTATACTACTATAGTTAATTTAGGTGGTCTCAGGTTTAGACCTACTTTCTCGTTCCATCTTGCTATCCTATTCAGGGGCTGGTGCTCTCGTCTCCTCGCTACATTATTATATTTGAATTATCTAGGATGACTAAGGAGTTTGCAAAACCTGGTACTCTAGATCCACTATATCCCAGAAGTCGTAGAAGCTCACCTTTCACAAGATATCAGTCTATCCCACCTGCAACTTGTTTCGTTGATTTGTCAACCCCTCAATACCTGGATGATTGATTCTGAATGAAACATCCTTGTTTCGTTTGTCTGCTAAATATTTTTCTCCTCCAGTCTGTCAACTATTGCGCTTTTGGAATTTGCTTGTATAGAAAAATGTAACCCCACACCTGGCACCAGATGCGTGCATGGAGAACGTTCAACTCCAATCAATGGAAAGCGGTATGAATTCTGAAAACAGTGCAACTGCTGTAACATCTCGAGAATACACAATCCACCATTGAGTTGGATCAGTCGCGGAAAAATTCACCATTTCACGGTTAGCGCTCGTCTAACCGTACAGTTATTACTTACTTTTACCAAAAGGGTGCTCTGCCACTGACAAGCTGATTTATTTAGAAGGTTCTCCACGCTTTGATAAATGGGTTTGAGCAGCGTTTTGGTATTATGGTCAAAGTGGAAATTAATTCTCGCTTTGTTGTTCGTTAATTATTATCTCGGGTATTAGGTACTGATGTGAATGAATGTCGGAGGGTTTGACAGTGCTGTTTAGATGTAAAGTCTGCAGCGCTTGGATCTTTCAAATTGCTTTATCAGAAATAGGTCTTCTCTTGGAAAATATTATATTTGGTCATTGGGAAGTAATTCATCTTGGCACGAAAACCTATTGAAATACTTTTTAAGAGTATAGTAAAGAATTCTGGATATTTTAAAGAGATTAATCAGGGAAATCATTCAATGGAAGATCGACGTCGTTTCATCTGAAATACAGCCTTGGAAGTTGCTGAAGAGATGGTGGTTGCTCCGCTAGAATTACTAGACGTAAAATTTTCAACCTCTTTTGCTTTCTTTTCTCACATCAACTAGTGACTGGATGTCTATATCTGTAAGAAAATTGTAGCGCTCTTATCAGTCGGTTCTTCTCAGTTAGTTCCGAACTTTTCTCAACTATTTACATGTGTCTTTAATAGATCTTTATCGGAAGCGGTTAGCAAGGGAAAAGAGTGAGTATATGCCTATCTTCCAGCAAAGCAAAAATTGCATACTGCGGACCTGGATATGATGATGGGGTGCAATTAAGTAAACTCCATAATCACCCGACTTGAGTCCTTTACATTTGTTGTGGGGATACATGAAAAAAGAAGTGTAATGCACTCCACCTGTATTGTGCACATGATTGTTTTACTTTTTTATAATTATTCATATCAATATTTCCAATTTCAAGTTACTTGGTGCTTTTTTAAAGTTGATTCAAATGCATTGAAATTGTTCTGAATTCGTATAAATTTCTTGATGTTCATTGGCGGTAGATTCGGATACATTTCATTGAACTTTCTACATGTTCTGCTGATAATTTTGTCACACTGTCCAAAAATAATAAACAAATTCATAAGAACTTCGTTTGAATAGTTTCGTTCCATCGTTTTGAAGGTATTTGCAACTTCTGAAGTGACGAAAATGTCGATATTATTAGGAGAATGTCACAACGCTACTGTCAAATAGTAATCATGGCCTGCTTACCAAATACCGAATGGAAATACCATTCTGAAGGGACATTTTCACAAATAAATGTTCATAAGTCCGAAACTTGACTAGTTAGGTATAGGTATGATATACATAGAAAGAAAGCAAATTTTAGCAGCTTTCCTAATTTTCAGTAATATACAGGGTGTTCCATTTAAAATTATCAAATTTCAGCAACTTTTTCGAGCAAACGAAAAAACTTTATTTTTTACCACCCTGTATTGAAGTAACGGAGATTAGGCTGACGTGTGGGAAGTGTCCAAGTATCACCTAACTCCAAACCAAAATTCGATATCATAGTACTTCTAACTAAAAGATATCGGCATTTTTAGAAGTCATGATTTTCGAAGAAAAAAATTGAAATTAATTTTTATTTCGAAAACGGTAACAGATAGGGATAGGGAAATATCAAGAAAAGTTGTCGGGCAATTGTTGGAGATTCCAAAAATAATATAAAAAACAGAGTGTTCCATTTGAAAAATCAAAGTTGCTACTGCTTTCTAATAGAAGCGGCAACACCGCATTGTCGAAAATATTTTAGTTGGCTACAGAGTGTCCGAATATGCCCTCCATTAAATTTTCAAAGTGATCCGTTGTCTGATTCACCAGAAACGTCTAATGTGCCATCCACCGTGAATCAGCCTGTATATGAGGGTTGGCGGACAACGTTTCTCAGATTTATTTTTGAACACGGCACGGCAAGTTTTTGAATAAAATCTATTCAACTGTTACATTTTTTCGGGTAACAAATTGCTGTCAAGCTCCATATTTTTATAACAGAAGCCCTTTTTAAAGATGTCTACCTCCAATTCGGCACATGAAACACCCTCCTAGGGGGTTCAAGATTTTTTGGTCAAAACTTGGGCCCATCACTAACAGCTGATGTGATTCTGGATTTTTGACAGACAGATATGCCTTGCGGATAGGTTACAAACGAATATTATTTATTATACATAACAGTTCCCTAATTACTTTTCCATAATTAACTATTTAATGTCATATCCTCTGGCCCGCTTGTACCGATATGGGAACAGGTAGAAATAATCTGGGAAGTACTTTGGCAAAAACCGCCATAAGGTTATGAATTGAAATGGTTTCAGGTAAACTTTTATGGGTAGATGAATGAACGAAAGACAAAAGTTTCCATGCGTAAATGCGACTGACCGTAGGTACCTCAATCCTTGCAAAGAAAATTGATGAAATATTTTCATAACGACCAGTTTGACCGCACACAGTGTATCTTACAAATACCGCCTTAATGAGTTATTCGAGGGTTTATTGGAATTTTTTTATATGCCTGGTTTTTTGTTGTCCATTTTCAAAAGACCTGTAGTAATAAATCACTCAAAATAGCAATAATTGCAATGGCGTACTTTTAGGACAGCAATAATTTGACAAGTATAAAGCTGGTAATATATAGTTCTTGAAAAAGTGTTTTATATCTTGTATCCCTTAATTATTCCTACACCTCTCTCAACAATCGACTTAAGGTATGGTGTTGAACCTTTACAGTGAATTTGTTTCGCAATATGTTATTGAAAAAATGGGTACATGAAAAATAGCAAAGGGTCAAGAATGGAGCCCACTGGAACTCCGATCTTATTCACAACAGACTAGATTGACAAACATTCGAAATATGTTTCTTGATAATTACCCATATGAAAGTATCAGAGAAAAATCTGGGTCATATTCTGCGCCTTCCATGTATTCCTCAATCCGAATTTGAATATCTATTTTCACAATGTTAGACAAAATAGATAGCATGTTAATTATGTCTTTCAGAACTTAGTTGGATTAATTAATTGGGCTCAGAATTGCTTCCGCATACACCATATTCTCCAGATCTGGCCCTAGCGACTTTTTCCTGTTCTCAGAACTCAAGAGAATTTAGGGTTGATGAAGCTTGAAAGTTACAAACAAACAAGCATACATACATACAGGTGAAGCTAATATACAGGGTGTAAAAGATAGTATAGAAAAAGTATATGGCCGCTATAATCGTTGCATCTCCCTCAAAGGCAACTATAATAAATAATGAAATCAAATTTAAAAATAAATATCTGCACATGTTAGCCTAGGAACTTCTTTATCTTCGTATACTTTTGAAAAATACTGCGATTTCCATAATTTGGTCAGTTTTTCGGCTGAGGTATCACAGCTCTGCTCATTAATTCACTATTATTAATTATAAACTGTAAGGAGTATGGTGTATATACGTAGTTTCTGGAATGATTACATTAAATAGTAAATAAGCTTCCCGGATCTCGGCGGGTGCCTTCATAATGAAATCCTCCCTGTGCCCAGATTAAAATTGATCCTTTTCAGTCCAAACTTCGGTGGGTTAATTGTAGGCGCACATTTAGGAGATGAGTAGATCATTGTTCTGGTTTTTGAAAGCAGTGCTTTTTTGAAATGCTACTATGTAATTCCATTTTGGGGAAAAAAACCAAATTTTTTCTAAGCACAGCTTCAATGTTTTGACCTGTAATTTTAAAATAAATTCATTGAAATGCATGTTTCTTCAGATTGCTGAAGGAAAAACAGATGCTTTTCCTTCAGCAATCCCTTTTCTTCACGCAGTAAATCCACATGAACGGGTTGTATCGACAATTTGAGCCTGGAATAATTAACCATAATCCACTCTCCCTTTTTTTTTCTTTTTCCTCTTCTCTTTGCCATGTTATCCATTTGTTTCTTGCTGACAGTCGCTTTATTCTCGTACCTTCATGGCGTTGGATGCCGTCTCTCATTGGGTCACATCTAAACAAAGAAAAATTGTAATTATTTCTGTTTGGTTACTGATGTGCAATGAATGTATTGTCATTATTATCAACTTGTTCTCAGAAACATCCATATAAAATTATGTTTGATGTTCAACAGAATATTGAAAAACTTTTGTATTTTTGTAAACTGTACCATCAACTTGAAGACTTCAATATTTAAGCTAAATGACACTACTTTTTTCCACAGTCAACGGCAAAAATGATCTTGTAATGGACTTGGAACAGGTTGAGTGCAAAGAAATTATTTGGCGTTTTTCTGAAGATCAATTCCTCTCTTCACTCAGAACCTACTACATTTAAAAATTTTGCATACTTCTTGACGATGAAGTAGACCATTTCTGATATTTTGGTAATGATTTGTTGTTTGAGAAACAGATTATTTTTTTTTTGCAAATTTGATATTTTTTTTAATACCCTATAAAATGGGTACGTCAAGTTACATAAAAATTTGAGATAGGAAAATTAAATTTTTAATGGACTGTGTTGGTTTGTTATGGAATGATTCATATTAATACGTTTACATAAATCATCTACAGTTTCTGATTGAGTTTTATGAATTGTATGTAGTCTTCTGAGTTCACAAAAAAATTCAACAGACCTAAATCGGGCCACGTTGCGAGCCACTTCACTGGTTCAACAGTTAGAACTCACAGAAAAGATAGCATTCAAATGCTGACGAAAACAAGTGAGGAAGTGGTGAAATTTGTTCAATATCAACACAAAATTATGTAACGCAGCATGTGAATTATTGTAAACAAATAAGTAATGCAATAAACATCCTACTAAATAGAAAAATGCCATTGCTTTTTTGTTACTTTTTCTTTGGAACGTTTTTGTAGATCTGGTGCATTAAGTTAAAAAATAAGAAGTATTAAAAAAAATCAACAACTTTTCAAATGAGGAATTATTATTGGGATTAAAGGTAAAAATCAGTTCAACAGCGTATGTTTTTTGGAGAAATTAGTTTTTGGGAAAGAAAAGTTTTGGCTTTTCACTTCTCTGTTATTTGGAAGTTTACCACATTTTTTGTATAAAGATGGAGAAATAGAAAACCGATGCCTATAAGATATCATCCTCAAAATAAAAATCGACAGGTATGAGAGATTTTTTTATTGCCAATTATGAGAAATCAGACATGTTTCTCTAAATCTATTTTTGTCCTTCTAAATTTCTCTGGGTTTCTATGTCATACCATCGTAATTGTTACTCATTTTCTCGATTATTGGTTCTATTTATGAGTTTTCCTGAGCTGATAGCTCATTTTGTTTTCTATATTTATTTACCTCTTTTCCGTTGTATTATTTACCATGCAAAAACTGGCGATAAACGTTGAATTTAATCTGCAGTAGATTCATTTGGAAAAACGCTGTTGTCAATTAGCTATGATCGTACCTACCAAGCAAATTTCATCTCCTGTTCACGGTCTTACTCAAAAGTACGCCAACAATCACACGCAACTTTCAAACCGGATTAAAATACCTTGTTCAGTTTACCTTGTTACCCTTGGCAGTGAATCATCTTTTTATGAAGTTGATTAATCTGGAATTTTGTCGAACATCTAATTCAATCAAGATCTTTATCACAGATTAAGATTCGCATCATTTCATCTCAGTTGATTAGTTATTACCATGCTGGCAATACAAAAAGATTTGCCTGCTCCTGCTTCGTGATGGAAACCTGCAGGAACAGTAATGAAAAGCTGAATAATAACAGCTGAGATGATAGCAAAATATCGATTTGGCGAAACATTCCATTTGAAATACATCAACCTTTCACGTAATGATGTTGCCTGTTTAGTGACTCGATAGTTTTTTCCTTTATTCAGAATTCATAAGAAAAGTTTGACTTATGTATAGGTGTTAAATGTTTGTTCACCTAATAATTTCTCTATTTTTCTGACTTTAGTGAAACCCTTGACTTGCGTATCGATTTGTTCAAAATATTTAAAGAAATTCGTTCGTGAATCGATATCGAATATCAAAGATAAACAAGCTTCGAAATTCGTAGTTTCTTCTGCTATTGCTATTGACAGTTTATGGGCAAAAAAGACCAAGAGTTGGAACAACACGACTCACAACTACAGTTGAAATTTTTGAAGTGGAATACCAGGAATGTCTTCCCTAAATATTTTGTTCAACAAAATGTACAGACCAAATTACTGAAAAATGCTGGATTTTTCTTTCTTGCAGTCCATGGAAAAGAAAACTTTATTTTTTGTTTCATCATATTACATCAAATATATCAACCATATTCAAAAGGATCCCCTAAGTATGTATTATAAATAAGTGCTGCTTACTCAAGTTGAGATTTACTGGAAAACAAATCATAATAAAAGAAAATATGAAGTAGTACGATCATATGTTGACTAATGAATGGTGTCATTACTGAATGTATGATTCTTGTTTTCGTTTTTTCTTTATTAATTTTTCCTTAATCTGAAGATAGGTAAGAACAATTCATGATGTTTAGTTTATACCTTATATTTACAACATCTTCATTTATAGTTTTTCCGATAAAGGCAAAGAAATTATTCGAAAGGTTGATAAAATAAAGAAACTTTTTTCAACTGGCCAGTAACTGCTACCGAGACAAAAGACGATATCGCGTAAAAACGACTCATTTGAAGAGAAAGAATATGCTGTTTTATCAAGACAATGCATCATATCATAAATCAATGAAAACGATGGCAAAATTGCATTGATTGGGCTTCAAATTTCTTTCGCATCCACCGTATTCTTCAGATCTAGCCCCCAGCGACTTTTTCCTATTCTCAAACCTCAAGAGAATGCTCGTTGGAAAGAAATTTAGGACCGATGAAGAGGTAATCGATTAATCGGCGAAATATACATTGAAGGCGTTATTTGGGTGAAATATTCCTGATGTGTAGATTCCACGTATTTCTGCCTTTTATCACCTCGATGTAGAATAATGAGACTTTAAAATATCTGAAAAAAGTCCAGGTGTTCAGTGAGCATACATTTTAAAATATAATTTCCCATATTGAGTTGTGAGTTTTCCGTATATGGCTTCACATAATAAGTGTTGTAGGATTTTTAGAGAAAATTAAATGGGTTGGCTTTGTGGCAGAAGCCTCAAAATCGTGTCAACCGTGATTCTTATTTCTGTTTTCCAAGAAAAACATTCAGTAAGACGATGTAAGAATAAGTTATAGTGCGTTTCGAAATATTTTGTCCTGATATATGATTCTTTTGTTTTACTTATTTTCAGAGAGGATCAGAAGTGATTCTCAGCAAATTTTCTCCGGAGAGACATTGAAACGTTCAATTTCATTGTTGCATGTATTATTTCGATGTCATAACTAAATGTAAATGCAACTCAGTTCCATTACATCATATTGTTACGTTTTCCTCTTGAGTTTGAAAATACACTACACTGACAATACACGATAAACACTTCAACTAAAACATCAAATGTCTATCGCTTCATTAGATCCCTTACTACCGCACTTTCAACTAGAATTCTTCGGTCTGGGTATTGTTAGTGTTTATATATGGTAATGGAAGTCTCTCGAAGCCATATCCAATAGGGAAGTCGCTAGAAGTCTCTCGAGGCGACGCGACATTTAGAACGATCGCGAAACGCACTTGGCTACGTCACAATTGGTTTACGACGACCAGCGGTGGCCGACGTTATTTTTTTCAGGGGATTATTCACAACACTATGATTTTCTAGCACAGGAAGATGAAAAAATTCCGGATTAAACGTTAATAACTGATAAAGCGTTTGAATTGAGATAATGAACATCTTATCTTGAATATTATATTATTTTCTCTCGAACATCGGCGTTTGATTAACGTATCGAATAAATATCGCTGTTGTTTTCCCGGTTATACGAAGGCTTAAAATAGATAATTTTTATGTCATGGTAGGCCAGCTACTGATAAAGTAATCAAGAGTACAGATATCTAGGTAATAAATATCAAATATCTTGCAAATAAAAGGTTGTATTTTGTGTAGCAACTGTGCATCCCATAAACTAATAGTCCGGCAGCTGTGAAACTTGTACACGTGTCTTTTGAAATTTGGGGTTGACTGTGTGTTATAGCCAACGAACTTTCCAGCCCATCTAAAATATCCTCAAATTATAGGCTATAGCTATAGTTCAGATAGGTGCACTTGACATTGGGCCTACTACGACCAATAGATTCAAATAAAAGTGGGGATTGAATAGACACGAAATCAATTCAGGATTTTTTTTCAGGAAGTCATCTTCGATGATCTGTCTATAGATAGATTTTGACACGCCGAAGCCATAAACGCACGTAAAGCCGAGGTTACAAATGGTCGGCCGGTAACTGTTAATTTGCACTGAATGGTAGGACGATCTGGCCACGATATACACGTGTAATCCGATGTCGATTCGTGACCACCGTCACGGTAATATCAGACCTTAACACTTCCTGTAACTCAAACAATGGGTTTTCGTGTGTATTGAAGGGTCGGTCGATGCTATCTCACATATGCTGAATTCGAACCCGTGGAAATTCTATGCGATGACTTGCATTTCAGATGAGATATCGGTCATTAGAAGGGTATAATTGGCGATTGCGACGACGGGAATATGGCATTTCACAGATTTTCAATGAATTATTTTGCAAACACTTGTTCGGGACTACAAGCGGTTGAAATTTCAGACTAATTTCCAAAACTGGTAACTCGAAAATAATTCCAGGAAAATTCTATTGCGATATTCAAAACTGAAATTTACAATATTCCGTGATTAGCATTTCCAAATCAATTTTATCAGTGTACCTACCAGTTCATAATCCGCCCATCTGTTTACAAGTCCTAGGACAATCGAATAAAGCAATATCACAAGCGATGTCACATTTTATTCATACCATGTTCACATGCACACTCTTAACACGCTTTTCCATCTATTACTGAACGTAAAAATGTTACGTTACGACTACTACTGGAGAAGTAGTACTGTTTTTATCCTCACCACTTTGATCC